TTTTGTAGTTTTTGTTTTTTCCTAGGGTTGGGGCTGGCGATTCCAAGTTTTTTACTTAGACTTGTTTTTTGCTCTTGTATGTTTGAAACATGTTGTTTTTATTGCAATATTTGTGCTTGTACCTTTTCAAGTTTATGCTTTTCACAATTGTTTTCATGATTTTACCTGTTTGGTAGTTTTTGCTTTAATCTTATCTATTTTGTTATTTTCTATTCATTTGAATTTAGCTTGCTTTGAATTTTGTTTTTCCAGGGGGATATAGTCTTTAGTTCTGGTTTGACTTATCATTTACCTGCTTTTAGATTTAGGATGAACACTTAGTTTGTAGAAATAAACTACCCCCTACTGGACCCAAGACACTGTTGTGTACGAGTATTTTGTTTTGTTTGTGAGGGTGTTTTGCTCTGCTCTGGCGTTGCGCCCTCTGGCGGTGAACCATGATTTAATCTACATTTTAACCAACTTACATGACATTCTATGTTATGTTGACTTTATCACATGAAAGTTTATAGTGCATTTCATCAATTAATAAATAAATGTGAAAATCGTAATTTTCAACACAAATAATAGTCTCGCTACCTTAACTCTGCTGTTGGATGAAAATGATTTGGTATAACATTTATTGGTTATGACTGCATATTTTGTTTCTACACACTAGTACATAGATTTCACTAAGTGAAATTTTCAGTGCCCATGCTTTTAATAATTTGTATAAACAACTTTCCACACCAAACACTGTCCAATATATTAAGGAGATCAACAAAGCAAACAAACAAATACTAGTAAGGTGTTTGATCTGCTGTATTAATATATTTACTGATTCATGATTCAGGTATAAAAAATACTGTCTGTTGTTCACTGGTTTTTCCTAAATCAAAATTGTGATTCTTGGAAAAATTGTTTGACATCAAGACAGTTTTGTAATCTCTTTAAATTAAAAATCACATTGAGTAATTTTAAATTACAATTAGAAAGAGCGATTCCTCTGTAATTATTTACATTTGTAATTTCTCCTGATTTATGTGGTGTTACTAGCTAGGTAACTAGTATTCCATTCACAGTTTTTGTATGCATAATATAATAATTTGGTGTAAAGCACTTGATCCTTTCTTTAATTATTGAAACAAGTTTGGTGATTTCTCAATTTTTGTTTCTTGCTTAATTTCTTCATGTTATGTTATTTACCTCTGAATCAGTATTCAAAATGTTGTTTATGTTATTTACCTCTGAATAAATAATTGTTGGTAATTAAATTTACCGGTAGCATGGCAGGAAAACGAATATTTGTCAGTAAATATTTTTCTTCAAAACTCGGACAGTCATTAACACTGGGAATATATGTCGTTGATTTACTATTTGATTTTCAAAGCCACATATAGTACTCTGTTCGATTGCTGTTAGATGATGACGGTACATTTTTGTCTTAGAAAGCTCCGGTTTTCAAGTTTATGCAATATCCACTAGTACGTGGAGACAATTGTGGACCACAACTCGCATACCCACCTGGTTCGCCATCTTGGTTCGATCCAAATAACATCCGGTTCAACATCCGGGCGTTCAATCTAAAATGGCGGAAGACTTGACAAATAGTTTGCAGACACACACTGCTCAATTACAACAGGTAATACGCTGATTTCAATCAAATCTGATACTCTAAACTTATCAGAGTTTCGTTATGAACAGACCAACTAAAAGTTATAGCCACAGAAACATAGAACACCGGTGTAAATATGTTGACTGTTGGCTTTGGCTTTGTTGTGTAGGTTTACGAATCGTAACGTACACATGTCGTATGGTGTACTATTTTAGGCATTATTTGTTGTTTGTGTATAATAGCTGTGCGGATTATCGTAATTTTATGTATGCCAACATTTTGAATATATCGCTGTTAAATGTGTTATTATGTTTCAACCATACAGTAGTAGTACCATACTCCCAAAGTCGGTGGTATAATAAATTACTACTGTAGAGGGAGGGCAAGGGGGATAGCTGGTACAGGTTACAGGAAATAAACACGGCATTTTACGTTTTTACAGGAAATAAAATGGAAGTTCCATTTACAGTAAAAAACACAATAAAGCAAATTCCTAATTACATTTTTATAATATTTTTGATACATGTGACTTGTGTGTTAAGAATCAAAATTGGTAATTGCGTATGAATTACGACATTTAATTTGGAAAATGCTTTATACGCTTACAAAAAATAAGATCTTTGTACAAATTACGGACAAATAAAATAGCTGATTACATTTTACACCTTGCCCATGTCTACGAATTTACGTTTTTTTATTTATTTAAATTACATTTTAACGAAAAAAAAACATTGATTACAGCTTACAAAAATACCCCTTGCCTACCCTCACTGTATCTATATTGATGATTTCTTAATTTTATTTATATTCAGTGAGCGAAAATTTGTCCCTCATGAAATTAAAGTTTACAGTATGTGTAGCGTTGCAGTTACAAGCTTTCATTAGAAAGCGCTACAATTGTGCTACTAATAATTTTACTGATTTGTAGTTATGGGAGAAAAAGGAAATACAAAAAAATAAATTATTATAATATTTGGTACACATAGACACTCCAAAATTTAAACAGAGAGCAATGATCCTCTGTTACCCAGTTCAGAAAAAACATTCTCTAAGACAGACCAGAAACGGAAACGAGACAAAAACAAAAGATTTTTCAAGTTAGCGTGGGGGAAATAATGTTGCTAAGTATTATCGTCAGGGAAAGCTATTGTTTAAGCTAGTCTGTGATTGGTTGCTGGCAATGTTTGGGGGATGTTGACCAGTTTGTGACGTAGGCTTGTCTTAGAGAATTGGTGTTTTACCTTGTTTACTTTGAGGCATTGTTTGTGTATGACTTAATACATGAAATATTTTTTAAATTACAGGTTGAAGCTGCACTAACAAATGATCCTGAGAATGAAGAATTGTTAAAATTGAAAACAGATTTACAGGTGAGTTTTGTGGCTCAGAAATTAATGGTACTGTATAGCTATATAACTAGGCATTCAAACAATTACTCTTCATCTAGGTAGTACATTGTAGTACAAAACCAGGAATTATATTTAAGGTTTTTTAATATTCTTATTTCGAATTGGCATTAATGACACATGAATGTTTATTAGAAATAAAAATCAGAGTAAAAAGATGGATATTTACAGCTATTGCCGCTGATCTCTTTTAAAAAAACCTGTACAATTGAATTGTGTTTTGTAGGAAGTAATTGAGCTGACACAAGATTTATTAGATGCCAAACCAAGCAGCAGTACAGATGATAGTAGTATAACACCATCTAGTAATAAACTATGGAATCTTGGTGATGAGTGTCAAGCTATTTATAGTGACGATGGTTTGTAAGTACAAAATCATATCTACAGTACAGCTCAAAACTTGCTTAGCTAACGCATGTTAATGCTGCGTTAAAATTGCATTATGACCATGCCAACCCGATGTTAAAGCACATTAGCCATGCGTTAAGACGAGCAGCATTGTTTGCATGCAAATGAGGAAAACAATGAAGCTGAACGCGTGTGACAAAGCAAAGATGTCTGGATGGTTTCGAAACAAGTTATGTTTTGAAAATTAATATTCAGTACAACTAAACCTTGCTTACCTAACGCGTTATCGCACATTAGCGCTGCATTAAATTGTGTTAATGCCACGCTAGCATTTTGGTAAACAAGTTTTGAGCTGTTATAGTGATGATGGTACAAATTGGTATCAGTAATGCAAAGTTATTTATGGTAAAAACCACTAAGCTAGGTTTTGTCATTAAGATCAGAACAACTGACTACCTTCTTCAAAATATTGTTGATTATCAGCAGACTTCGTCTAAACTCCTGACATATTTATACATACATGTAGAAGTAATATAAATACTGTAGAAAAAAATCTTCAGGTACTCAAAAGTTTTTTTTATACAATTCCGGAGCAATCTCAGTGAAAAAATCTTGGTTCCTGGTATGATCACATTCAAATTTTGCACACATACATCTTTATCTGCCTATGCACGTCCATTCCTTTCACAATCCGATTCAAGACGACTGTATAAAAGACATGTTAAAAAATCATTAAAATCAAACATTTCTGCTATTCTAAAACTGCATTTCAGTCATGGATGAATGGATTATGTTCAAACTTGATACAGACGTTGTACATTATCAGACTTTGCTCTACATCTTTTTATTTTTCAGATCTGATTCAAAATAGATAACTTGTGGCCATTTTGTTTTAATGAAGGCTGTTCCAGGGCCATATCTCTAACATGCCTTGATTGATAATGTAAAAATACATCATGTATTTGTTTGATGGTCAGATTCAGTATGACCAAATGGCTGCAATATTAATGTTACAAATTCATCCAAATCGTGCATTTCTGCTATTACAGAACCAGATTGTGGATGTGTTTGGACAGATTGTGTTATAGGACCTTCATACAAGTTATTTTGTTTTTCAGATCAAAATGACCAACTGGCGGCCCTTTTTGTTTTAATGAGTGCAGTTCTTGTGTCATATCCTGACCCCCATGACTGTTCATGTTCAAACTTTATGTATATACCGTACTTATCCGGGTAAGAGCCCATGCCGAAGCAAACGCCCACCCCCACTTTTGACACAATAAAGAAGTTGAGGTCATATCCGGGCACACGCCTAGGGGGTCTTTTTCTACACAAAAAATAACAAAAAAATATTTTCTATTCGTTGACTGTGCTTGTATTACCAGTTGACTTTCTTGAAGTCTGTCGTGATGCTTATAAAAATTCTTTAAATATAATTGTTAATTGCGTAATACGGTGGGGTGAATGCTAAAATAGCTGTGACAGCAAAATAGATATTTCGCTTTCTGCCTTCAGGGCAGCGTGTTCACTGCTGATTTACATTTATTTTTCAAGATTTTTTTTTCAGAATCATAACAGTCAGCAAGTCTATAAAAATATATATTAAAGCAGAAATGGTACCAGTAGTTCTCTTTTTGAAATATGTCGTGGCCCTAAAAAGGGCTGGCTGTTTGGTGTGTACTTCCTTAGAAACGATTCAAGCAAATCGTACAAGTGTCGCACTCGTTTATCTTTAGCGTCGTCGACAATGAAACCAATGTTGCAATATTGTAGCAACTCGTACCTGGGAGAGTGGTTGAAATCACGTTATTTTGGCTTTATAAAATATTTGGTAGCAGCTTGCGAATCCATAACTGGGGCCAGCAATTTTGCAATGTCACGCCGAACACTGCCAATTTTTTTACCATCTTTCATCACCGCTATTGCATTTCTGTCATGAAAACTATTCTTCTGTCGTTGGATAAAAAAAAACTTCCCATTTCAAGCCCACCGCGATATCCATATAGTGAGACAACTTTCACCGTGATTGATAAGCGTCTAGTCTGATAAGAAAGCTATGTCACGATTTGACCTTTATGATGAAATACTAGTAGTGATGTCATTCTTAGCCAATCAGTAAAGCAGATGCATAAAGGTCAAAGATGATTGCCAGACTGTAAACAAAAGCATCGCAGCAGAGCGACCCCATTTTTCTTGTCTCTTTATTGTGATTAGACATGAATGAAAAGTGCCAAGCTGACAGACTGCGAAATCCATGGATTAAAAGTGCTAAGTCCAAATTGTGTGGGATGATGTCGACGAACTTCAGGAAGAAGTTGTAGGGATTTTGTTCGCCGGCTTTATTATTGATCTTGTATGACAGTTGATTCGTAATTTGTCGAGACCGGAAATCATTTTACGCAGTTTAACCCCTGACATTTTAATTCATTTTGAGTTCACGCGTATTGGGCGTGTTTGTCGGCGGGAAAATCCTAATTCAAATGATTCCTCACTGTCGATTTTTATTATTTCTGGTTTATTTGTCACATTATAAGCAATACATTAATTTTGTTTTACTTCTAATGTTGCATATTGTTCATTTATTTCTGTTGCATGTTTTTAGTCCCCGTTCGGACGAAGTCCGAAAACGGGAACTTATAATTCGGTCTCCGTGCGTCTGTGCGTCCATCCGGAGTCATATCTCAGAATCCCTTGGACCGATTCCGTTCATTCTTTGCATGTGCCTAGTACTTTATGTGGGACATATGCACATGCAGTGGTTTAGCGATTTGATTCAAAATGGCCGACTGGCAGCTATCTTGTTTTTTGAAAATGTCATATTTTGGACATGCTTTGTCAGTTTTCATTCAAATTTAGTACATAGATCATACATGTTAGGATACATGTTCTGACAGTCCGTGAGTTCCTGAGTCTGTCTGTCCGTTCGTCCATGCGTCAGTCTGTCCAGTCATATTTCAGAATCCTGTTGACCGATTCCCTTCATTCTTTGCATGTGCCTAGCACCTTATGTGGGACATATGCACATGCAGTGGTTTAGCGATTCGATTCAAAATGGCCGACTGGCAGCCATCTTGTTTTTTGAAAATGTATTTTGGACATGCTTTGTCAGTTGTCATTCAAACTTGGTACATAGATTATACATGTTAGGATACATGTCCATGACGA